ATCTGTTTCCCAATGTTCACGTGGGTTGCTCAAAGATTTAGTTTTGAATGGTGCTGAAGTGCCGAAAGACTATAGAAACAGCTTAAAAGCTGTGGCGAGCCCAAAATTATCATTCTTCGTACGCAAATTTTTCACGGAATCGCAAAGTTTAGAGCGCCAAACTCTACTATTAACTGGACGTAATTATTCCAAGTCAAGAATACGAGAACTAGAAAAGGCAAGAAACTTGAGAATGTCTAAGAAAAATGATAAATCGTTAACTATATTACATTATAACGACGTTTACAATGTCGAGCCGAATTGCGGGAAGGAACCAGTTGGTGGTGCGGCACGTTTTTGCACCGCAATTAAATCCTTCTCGCACTTGGAGCCTCTGGTTCTGTTTAGTGGTGATATTTTCTCTCCCAGCATGTGTAAGACAGCTTATTTTTATAAAAAAAAGATTCAAGCGTTAACATTAAAATATTATTCGTATGTATGTATGTAGTAAGCACGTTCACGCAGGGCGAACAGATGATACCGGTGCTGAAAAAAACTGGTACACACTGCGCTGTCTTTGGAAACCATGATTTCGGTAATTTATGTATATATGCATATATATCTTTCATACTACCATTTATGATTTTATAATCCACTTGCAGATCACGGTCTGGACGTTCTAGTCAATTTGATTAAAAATACATCCTTTCCGTGGCTTATGTCTAACGTTGTGGATAACGAAACAGGAAAACCTCTTGGAGGGGGAAAGATAACTCATGCCATGCGCCACAATCAAATATTAATTGGTATGATTGGACTTGTAGAGCGGGAGTGGCTGGAAACATTACCCACTATAGACCCCAACGAAGTAACCTATACGGATTACGTCGAAGCAGGAAATAAATTAGTATCTGAGCTGCGTAACGAGGGATGTGAAATTATCATCGCATTGACACATATGAGAACCCCAAATGACATAAGACTAGCGGCCAACTGCCCCGGTATAGATTTAATTTTGGGTGGGCATGATCACGTGTATGAAATCAAGGAAGTTAATGGTGTGAAAATCGTAAAGTCAGGCACAGATTTTCGCCAGTTTTCAAAAATCATTTTAAAAAAGGAACGTGATGAGAATGGTCAAGTTGTGGTAAACATTGAACAAGTAAATGTTACTTCGGATTTTGTTGAAGATAAAGACTTGAAAGAAGAGCTGGACAAATACTCAGGTATGTATAGATTTTTAGACAGAAGATTATTTTCAGAAATGGAAGTGTACAAATCTGGTACACACGTTACATATCGGCCGTTATCAATGCAAAATGAAATGTATGTATGTACGTACAGTTAAGAACATGAAAATAGCAGCACTATGGTAGATTTTTATGAATCCGTATAAAGTGTATACAGTAAAATAAAAAAATAAAATAAAAAAGTATGTTAAAATTATCTGGTAAGTCAGTACAATGTTTGTAAAAATTAAAATCTTGGGAAATTAAGGTAGCTTCAGCTGTAAGCACGTGTTTTTAAAACATGATCCAATAATTACACTGTGCTACACCAAAAATATGCAGGGGTTATCAGATAAAAATTATTGGGCTGTTCAGGATGTTGTGGAAGTGTTCTTGGATTTGCGGTTGGAATTGCATGGCAACCGTGTGCATTTTATTGTTGTGAATTTACAAATGCAACGAATATGCAAATGCAAGAGAATATGCACAAGATCCTGAACCGCCCTTCCCAGTAGATAATTTCAGGAGTTAAAAGCCCTTCCGAAAGGCCTTCCTGGGAATCAAGAGGCCTTCCACTCTACATTCCTTTCTCCTTTCGATAGCCAGCGAAGATCGAAAATCGAATGCAGCTCATAATAAGGGCCAAAGTGATCAAAATTATACTTATGCTAATTGCTTATCGGAGGGCGTTATGCGCAAGCCGAATTAAAATTTTTTGCATACATTGGAAATTTTAAATTCGAAATTTGTTGAAGTTAATGGTGATACGCTAACCACAAAGCCAAATTTTTTGCAAAATCTGATGAGAAATTTAAAAGTAAATTTTCACGAATTTCATCACGAATCAGGAATTTCATGTGAACAAATATTCCCAAAAATTATAAAGCAAAACAAAAATAATTTTTCCCAATTTGTTTTTGTTTTGCATGTTAAATTATGAGAACAATTTATTCACATGGAATTGGCGATTATAAAAAGATTTATTTGGAAAGAGCATTCTTTAGAATTTGATTTTTAAATCGCAAGATTGCATTCAAAATAAGAAAATGAAAAAAATAACAAATAATGCTCTCGTGATTTTTATTATAAAATAAAAAGAACAATTTCAATGAAGTTTTTTAATAAAAAAATGTACGAACCACAAGTAAAAAAATTACCAAGCACTGATAATGATTTTTAATTTGAAATATTGTTAAATTGGTATAAATGTGGGAAAGAAAATACTCCGATTTATTGTTTTAATATTAGTTAAATACTTGCTATTTTCGTGTTTGCAGCTGTACATACATACATATGTATATGTATAAATATTTATAGTATTTTTACTATTTTAGAGGTTATTGAAGCCAAAATGACTGAAGTTTTGGGCAACTTTAGCGTGGATTTGGAAGGACGTTTTTCTGTGATCCGTACCCAAGAAACTAATCTGGGCAATTGGGTTTGTGATGTTGTTTTAGCGGCTACCGGAGCGGACATTGTCATAATCAACTCAGGCACTTTTCGTTCAGATCAAATACACCCGCCCGGTCCGTTTACAATGCGTGATTTGGTGAATGTTATCCCCATGCGGGATCCACTGATTTTAGTAGAAATTACGGGAAAATGTTTGTGGGAAGCCTTAGAAAATGCTGTGTCTGCTTACCCCAAATTAGAAGGCAGATTTCCTCAAGCAAGTATTCCTTAGTTTACCCTAATTTCACTTAACTTTTTATATGTGTGTATGTATGTATATTATAGGTTAGTGGTGTAGCATTTGCCTTCGATCCTTCTAAACCACCGGGAAAGCGTATAGACCCGCGATTGATACGAGTGGCAGATGAGTTAATTGATTTACAGCAAATGTACAAATTATGTATAAAATCATACATATATAACGGTTGCGATGGTTTCACTATGTTCAAAAATGCTAACATTCTGGTAGGTAATATTTACATTATTTCAAAAGATTTCTAAACTAGCCGACACATTGTAAAATGATAAGTAAAGATCGATGAGGATCTTAGTCCGGAACTAGGACTTGCAATACAGAACCATTTCAAAGCGATAACTCTACGCAACGAAAAAGGCGATCATCAAACCAAACATCGACAATCCTTAGTCACGCTTTCACGACGGCACAGCATGGTGCAAATGCTAGACAATCTTGATCTAAATGGGCCATCACCCATAAGGAAGCTATCTGTAGGACATCACGCTAAATCTATAGACGTTTCCAACACAAAAGCGTCGAAGGTAAGAACGCTCCAAAAAATTTAAACAAATGCATTCAAAATAAAGTATCGTTTTTTTTTTTTAAGATGCTACGACGACCTTCCTTGGAGGACTTAGAACAAGCTAGCTGCGAACTGGCTCCCACCGTACAAGAGAGGATTGTGCGAATTCAGAGTGAAGAGCACTATAATCAGTTATTGAAGAGAAAAGGAACTTCAGTAACGAATTCTGTAATTACCGAGGCTGAAGATGAGTAATTTTAATTTGTAAAAGTAATTATGAATTAGTTTACTTATATTAGTACAAAATGAAGCATGTTAGCTATGAATACCTGCTTTAGTAGTTTATACAATTGAAACATAATCACAAAAGATTAATCTAGTTTATGTTTCATTCTACGCTTATAAAATATATAAAAATTGAGATAACAATTATTTCTTAAACATTTTTAAATATTTAAGGGTGCGGTAAAATTATCCCCACGCCTCGCAGAAGGGTGCCACTAGCTAGTGCTAAATACTATTGTTTTTCCTTTCTTGGTTTATTTATAGATTAATTAACAAGTAAAAAATTTTAAATATGTATGCAAGTATAAACAAGCTCATATGTTTATAATATCTTAATATGTTTTTCTCTGCATATCACATCGCGATTTTCCTGAAAAATAAGTACAAAGGTACAATACTGTTCCGACTACACGAAATATGTAAGCTTTACAAAGTATATAAAACTAGACAAAACAGCATACAATTTGAAAATTAAAAGAAGTAATATACCGTTACACGGCAGTAAGACTTATCCCTCCATTTATTCAAAAAAAGTATACGCTAGCATAAAGTATTGTTCAGAAATATTTGATATTTTTTTTTTAAAACCTTCCTCCTCCTGTCTTTTTGTGTCGGACAAAAATATTATGTATTGGCCCTATTATGTTTGAAGACTGGTGTCTACCCAGTAGATAATTTCAAGAGTTAAAAGCCCTTTCGAAAGACCTTCACTCTACATTCCGTTCTCCTTTCTTTTTTGTATGGAGTGGTACAAATTGAAGGGCTCATTCTTTCGCTACCCAGAAGGGCTTTTATAGGACGTACTTCAGAAGGCCTTTTGGAGGAGTTCTTTTAAAGTTGCTTCTTTAATTTATAAAAATCAAACCTCTTTAAAGTATTTGCTTACGGTTGATATCAAATATGTGTTATTGCAACTTAAAATGTTTATTGAAATTCATTTGTAATGCTAAACAACATAAATTTATGCATCTGCGTAAATTGTAAATGGATTAGCCCTTCTAGAGGGAATGCAAGCAGCACTTTTTTCAGCCTCTTAGAATGACAGATCTCCAAGTGAGCGATAATGATAGCTAGTGCAGACCATTTTACAAAAATGTTCTTTTAGCACTTTCTATGTGGCCTTTTGCGTTGATAGTGACGATATGTAGCTATCTAAATGCATCATTTAGTTTTAATTTAAAATCAAAACCGCTATAAAGTTTAACTTAGAATCGGAGTATGTACTTGATTCGTTTTTTTTTTATTAACTTTTTGTACATATATATGGATATAACGATGTGTATGTATTATTTTTTTAATATTTTTAAAGGTTCTTGTAAGTATTAACATCTAACAAATTTTTTTGTTTAAGGCTAGAACTTTAGTAAGGGGATGAATAACTCAATCAAAAAGAACAAATATGTATTATCATTGAAATATGCAGGTCATTCAAATTGCATGACGAGAGTTTTCATTGCGCTCACAATGTAATAAGCACACTCGCGCACTTCGTGATTGTACTTCTCAATTGCTGACTTATCATCCAAAGTATACGATTTCTGCAAGTTTTCACATTCATGGGGTATTAGAATGTTATAACGCGTTAATGTTTTTAGCATATCTCTGATCGTTTCATTGTAATTTGACTGTGAATAGTTTTAGCAAGAACGATTAATGAATTTATTACTATTTAAAAAGTAGTTAAATTACCGGTGTAGTAAATATTGAAATCAGTTCAATGACAGCAGTGCGTACTCTTTCCCCGCAAGGCATCAAATCGTCTTTATTAGTGGGCAAATCTTGCATTATAGAAACAAGTTCTTTAACACGACGTGTCACCAGGTCTGTGCGATGTTTTAGTTCTTCAGAAAATGGCTTATCAGCAGCCATTTGATACATACTGGTCGTTGTTCGACAATCAACGTTTGGTTTGAATAAAGGTGGTGCGATACGACGCTCATACATGCTTGCAGGACGTTTGATGGTCGACTGGTTTGAACTGTTAGCCGAGGAGGAACTAGAAGTATTTGAATCTATAGGTACAGAGCCACTACCAACATCCTCAGAAGGTGAAAGCGATTCGTGTCCATTTTCAACTCCATTTGTGTCGGTTCGGCTTTATTAATATATTGTCATAGTGGCAAAATATACATAAACATAAGAGATAAAAAATAAATAAATGAATTAAATCAAAAATAAAAATTAAGACAGCTCACAGTGAGTCTTGATGAACGACGTTTTCATTAATAGCACAAACCAGGGAAACATTCGAAAACTTTGACTTCAGCTCAGAATTTTCAGACGATAGCTTTTCAACAGTAGATTTGAGCTGATTGATCACATATTTGTAGTCGTTTATCTGCCTCAATAAGTTCTGCACTTCGTGCTGTGGCTCATCGGGCGTTTGATGCACAATAGCCTGAATTAGCGGATACGAAATCATAAAAGGCTTAAGAACTTAAAATATAAAATATATTGTAGGAAACGTGCAGATAAATATAAAGTGTACATAAATAAATATGTAAAAAAAACCTAATAATAAATAGAGTGAAATTTATACAATATATCGTCACCTTAATTCTCAAAGACCCTACCATAAAATTTTTTATTTTACAGAAGCAAAAAAAAACATTATAAAATTAGTACCAAAAACAGGTAAGGCATGTTACTCCGTTGTTTTTGGAACTAACACTTCAAAATTTTTATTGGATGTGTATTTTAATACTTCCTACTAAAATCTGTGAAAAACGCAGTTTCAAAAAAGTGTTGGTTAGGGCCTTTGTGAATTAAGGTAAAGACATGTATTTATATGTAAAATTCATTACCGCTCCAATACACTACGTATTTATTATTTTATGAAAGTTCTTATCTACATTTTATATTTGTGTTACAAGGCTTGTAAATTGACAAAAATTATCACACGGAAAAGTACATCTGCTTATTGACAATTATCCAAAACTATTATTCAACTTTAAAATTTTTTGGCGCATATTATTTACCTGCTGTGCCACAGGTTGCACGGGGGCATAGTCGTCATCGCTTGCAACAGGATCGTAAATCGGTTCATCATCAGAAAGATCCAATTCATTTTCAGTTAACAATGCTGGATTATAAAAAGAATTAATATTGGGTCCATCGAGTGGTCGCAAACTTGCTATTTTTTGTCGCCGGCGTGCATCGTACAAAACATCTGTTAATAATCCAGCGAATTCTTTTCGCGAAAATCGTGCTAGTTTCTGTCTGCCCTATTATATGATTGTATTTGAATATAGCGTATTAGGATTACCTATATTGAATGTACTTTTTTTTTTATTTACTTGATTCCGAGTGGCACTTAAAAATGGATTTGCCGGCAAGAACGGCACTGCAGCGTTATCGGCATTCAACATAGAAGTGGCCCAAACTAAAACAACGATCATAGAATTCAAAGTGGTAATTTTCTATAAAAAAAAAATCCCTTTACAAATTATCGTACTTGCTTCATTTTCACGTCGGTCGACTTCGTCGTATAAGTCCATAACCAACTCTTCGAACATTTTATTTGGAACCACTTGTAAACGGTTCCTGGCAATGGTAAGCTGTTCGCTCAATTCAGTGTTAGCAGTTTCCGGGATAATCAAATGGCCACCTGACTATATTAGGAAAATCTCGTTTAAAAGTTAAACATTATAAAAGTATATTTTACCGAATGGTCTGGTTTCTTTCCACCCAAAAACATTATTATTCGATCTGTCACTTCGTACATTGCATCCAAAAGTCTCTCTGCTATGATATTATGATTGTTGGCTTTGGCAACTTCAAGTGGAGTTAGACCATTTCCATCGATTGCATTAATATCTGCTCCATAGACAATAAGCAATTCTATTTGGGACGCTTGTCCAAATTTAGCGGCTACATGCAGAGGCGTTGACCGCTTTTCTTCATGAAAGAAGTTTGGATTGGCTCCTTGCACAATCAGGCGGAGAGATGTTTCTAAATTGCTAGTCCTAACACTTGCGTGTAGTTGTCTGCTAAGTTCATTTTCCAGATTTATGCCAGAAATAACACCTTCCTCTTGAAGATTCGATTTCAAAGCGAATACCAAATTTAGGTGCTTAGACTTAATAAAATCTAATTTTATTGGATGCAAGGGATCTTTTGGATTAGGCTTTCGAACACGTGGTACGCCCTTGTCAGCTTTTGAAGAGTTAGTATCAAGAAGATGATGTTCCCAAACGCTATTTGCACCATGTGCGTTTAGAGAGTTGACGAAATTCAAAACAGACGGCTCCCATGTTCCTTGGCGGAGCGACTTTACCATGGATATGTGCCGGCCCAGGCTACGATGTATGGAGCAGCAGTCCGAACAAAGCAAAATACCGCGGTTTATAGAGGCCCACGATGGATCTTTGTTCAAGAAAACAACTTCGAATTCATAAGATTTTAATTCAATTTATTTGCAAACCTGTGGCTCCGCAATCCCCGCATATTTCGACTTGAATGCGCGATTTGGTACGCGACATTTTTGGTACTGTATTACTGACCGATTCTTCCTTTCTTTCGATGTAGCTTCTATTATGGGTGCCCGTAATTAGACTGCCACCTCCAGTCGGCGAAACGAACAATTTTCTATGTGCCTCCACAATAGTATTAGCGAAACACATTCATGTAAAGCTTTTTTGAAGGGTGCAACCCTTCATTCATTCATTTGCTAGTAATAAATGCTAAAATACATACGTGAGCAAAGGCCCCAAAAACATTCAGATGCAGCTTAGACCTTCGTGCAGCTATTTGCTAATTGCTGCTGTTAAAACACTGTTCATTGAGGAGACAATCAAAATCGACCCCAATTAAGAGCTTTAATTAGTTGCAACACATTCATTCAAGGTTGCAAATGCCTTCGTTGAAACAATAAACAATTTGTGCACAATTTTTTCCGATTTTTCAACTAAACCAATTCGATTTTATTTATTAACATTGCTCTTTGCTTTTAACATTCGCTTTGTACACACCTAATAACTTAACGAAATTGCCGGGCTGCCACAGTTTCTCAAATCGCTTGCAGAATGGGCTCTGAACATTTTGGCACGGTTGCCGTCAACGTCATTTTGGCAACGGTTGCGGTCCATAAAAATCAATACTTCTATAAATAATGAAAATTTTTAATAAAAAATCGTGCGATTTTTTATTAAAAATTTTCGCTTGCGGCGGTTTTTCTATGAAGCTCAATACTTCGATAAAAAACTGTAAACCATAAAAGTAAAGGTATAGCGAAATTTGCTATTATATTTTGGTTAGAATATTTTATTTAGGTGAAAGTAAAAAAAGAAGAAGTGTATAGTGTAAACTGAGTACAATAGCGCAAATGAAATGTGAAATAAAGTGGCAATCCCAGCGATTTGAGGTTATAATAATTTTGGCAGGCGCAAAGTTTGTTTACTCTGTTTTATTAACGAAATATATAAAATAAAAGTGAATAAATGATGTTGTTTGCATAAAACAACAACCGGAGACGTTTTAATAGTGTTTTAAAAGTGGAAACTGGCGATTTAGTGCATTTTTGACGTGTTAATTACTCATAGAAAACAACGAAATTTAACAAAAGTTTTTTGTTTATAACTTTTAAATGGTTAATAATATTAGCCCCCCTCCAGATTGTTAATAGGGGGACCGAAACGTAATTATTAGGTTTGTTCGTCGAAAATCCAGCAAGAATCATCCAACACTCAAAATACCAGAGAGTAAGAAAAAATTATCTCAAATTCTCTCTCATGTTGAGAAACTTGCAAGTTTCTGCACGAACGCAAATTTGCAATTTCCCTGCCAGCTGGTGTCCACGGTTGCATTTCAAACACAATCCATTTTTATGGAATTTTTAAAATTCATTCAGATGGAAAAAACAGGATATACATTTATGCAGTGTTTTTGCTGCATTTAAAATGCAACATTTAGCACTTTCGAACATATGTTTTCGAAGAGCGTTCATGCTATCGCATTTAGCAAATGTACATTTACGCGAGTTCGAAATCGTATGCTTTTGACAAACAGCCGTGTTCCAGTCGCTTATTCAGATCCGTATCTATTACTATAAATTCTGACGGAAAAGATAATGTCCAAAAATCCCTACTGAAAAGGAAAAAATAAATTCTAAACCGAAAATTCAATACAAAAACTTGAATTGTTTTAACCATAACCAAACATTTGTTTGTGTATATATTCATTTGTCGGTGCTGTCAATTATAATTTCCACACTTAATTAGGAAACAAAACAAACAGAGTTGATCACAAATTAATCCAGATTTCTATCAGCATCATATCGATGTTTAATTTGCGTAACTTTTCTTTATCCAAATAATGTAAAATAATAAATGAAATCTCGATCGGCGATCACTGAAACGCAGCTAGCGACTGTATACTCGAAAAAGCAATGTTGCCACTTCTTCTCATTAAACCATGTTCGAATCGTGGAAATTTTGGAAGATCACAGGGTTGCTTTTAGCATTTAGATTCTAAATGCAAAAATGGGGTTGCATTTAGTTGCATTTACGTGACGAATTTTGTATGGATAAAGCTAAAATTAGTCAAGAACGCAGAACGTATACTTAAACGCAGTCTGTATACGCAGAATTTTGTCGATTACTGGAGCCCTCAGTGTTGCTTACTACAGTGTTGCCACTCTTCAATGCCTTTTCATAAACTTACCCTTTCAACCACAATTTTTCGTGCTATAATAGATTGTAACTAAATATAAACTACTTAGTTTTCAACAAAAACCTTAATTAATAGTAAATTTCAAATATTTTAAACATATTTCGAATAGGAACTTATAACTTTTTTACCATCTGCAAAACTGACGAAGTAGCAACCATCTAAAGAAGGAGAAATCAGCTGACACGGAAAAATCTAAATTCCGCAGATTTCTGCGCTACGGGCTACAACTACAGAAAAATTCTGCGGTGTTGAGTTTTCATTTACATGGCGCTTTGGTAAGACAGATCGTGTCAGCTGACTCGGGTTTACGTACCGGTAGGTTTACGTTCTTGACTAATTTCAGCTTTAATGTACATTTAGAGTAGCATTTAGAGCTAAATGCGCTAAATGTGCTTTTACGCGTAAGCAAAAACAGCCCATTAGATAATCTTGTTGTTCTGACTTTTTAGATTCAAGAAAAATTTGTATATTTTTTCCTGACTGTTTATATGTTAAATTTTTCTTCGTTTTGCATAATTATTTCTACGACTCCTGTCAAACAAAAACAAAAACCAAGAAGGTAGTGAACTAAAGGAATATAAAAAACTTTTCTTTCCGACTGTTTGACACCTGAAGCATAACGAAATTTGATTTCCCTTTTCAATGTGCCTTATTTGAGCGCATAGTGGGAAAGCTTTTTTTTTTTGTCAAAAATTTGACACTAGGCTATGCTACCGAATGCATGAATTCCTCATTTCATGAATTCGGTCGCATAAACCTAGTATGTAATCATGATACAATAATACAAGGTGTTATCGGTTGGCAACTTCTCGCTCTAATTCCGCCATAATAATATAGTTGAATTTTTTATATTTTTTTTCAGTATACACATTTTGTTTTCTCAAAAAGGTATTATATCTTATTTTATTTCGTTTCATTGCAAATATACTATAAGAAAGCAAATTTTGTTTAGAAGAAAATATGAAATTTTATATTTTTGCCCCAAATGGGGATCATTTCTTGCCGTTTTTCTTCTTATTCTACTGAGCTAAAGCAGTGTCACATCGAGCTGTCACATCTGATACCACCCTGTATTATTGCATCATGGTATGTTATATCTGCACGCTAGTGGAGATGGAGTTCAGTATTGATATTGAAAATAGAGTATAAACTTAAGATAACATCCGGATCTATCGATAGTTTTTTATCTCCGCAATGTACGGACAAAACAATCTTGTATACAATTGTAGAGGAAGTAATATTGCGGGATTCATTTATAAAAAATGGCCAATCGAACTGTTAAAGAAGCAAAAAATATTCATGGAACCAATCCTCAATATCTGGTTGAAAAAATTATACGCTCTCGCATTTACGACTCGAAATATTGGAAGGAGCAATGTTTTGCACTCACTGCTGAGCTGTTGGTAGACAAAGCAATGGAGCTGCGATTCATTGGCGGTGTTTACGGCGGAAATATAAAACCTACACAATTCCTTTGCCTTACGCTTAAAATGCTACAAATACAGCCCGAAAAGGATATCGTTGTGGAATTTATCAAAAATGAAGAGTTCAAATATGTAAGGGCCCTGGGTGCTTTTTATTTGCGGTATGCTTTATAGGCTTTTTCTCAAAAATGCATTTAAATTAGAACTTTTTAACCTAGTCTTACAGGAAGCGCATTGGATTGTTATAAATATTTGGAACCTCTATATAATGATAATCGTAAACTTCGACGCCAAAATAGGGCCGGGCAATATGAAATTGTTCACATGGACGATTTCATAGACGAGTTGCTCCGTAGTGACCGAGTTTGTGATATAATTCTCCCTCGTATACAAAAACGCGCTGTACTTGAGGAAAATAACGAGCTTGAACCAAAAGTATCAGCGCTAGACGAGGATTTGGATGACGATGTGGTCAGTGATGAAGACGGTGGCGGGGAAAGGGATGATGACAAAAACAAATCGTCTTTCTTACCTAAGAGGAGAATACGCAAGGATCATTCGCGTTCACGTTCACGTAGTGCTTCAGCATCTCGCGATGCAAGAGGCGGAAGATCTCGCGATTATGATACTGACTTAGAAGACTATGGTCGTCCACGTGATCGTGAAAGGGATAGATTTGGTGTTAGTTCGACATCAAGCAGTAGTCGCCATTGGGAAGATCGCGGCGGTGGTGGCAGCTCTAGTTATCGCAGTGGACGCGATGATTATAGAGACGAATATAGAAGAGAAGACTATAAAGATAGACGTTATGACCGTGACTCACGAAATGAACGGGATAGAAGGCGTCACTAATCACCAAACAAATGTTACAAAATCAGAAAAAAAAAGTTTAACGCTAGCGGATGTATGGATATGTGTATGTATATATGGTATGTACATAATACATACATGGTTATAGTTCTAGTATAATTAAGGGCGAATAAAATCAAGACAATACTGCACATCAAAAAATTGGAAAATTCTGCTTACCCATAGAATTCGGAACAATTAGTCAACGCACAAAAATGTACATACAAAAAATTTATTTTAAAGAAAAGTTAAAAGTAGATGGATTAACGCGTGTTTTCTGAAAAAAAAATTTAAATCAACTTACTTTGCCTGCGACTGGACTTGCAATTTTAAAAATAATTGACAACCTTATATGACCAGATTTAGATAATTTAAATATTATAAAAGTTGAAGTTGCATCATCTCAATACATACATTTGCACATAGTATGTATCATCTGACTTCGGAAATTAATGATATCAACATCTCTACGTGATTATCGAGAAACAAGCAGGTAAACACTTCTGATGTTTCCGAATTTAGTATGTAGTGATAGTAGAGTAGTATGTAAATTTCGCCCACTTTCCTTAAAAGCTTATTAAGTAAAAATTCGTCGTTTGTCCAATCATATGGGCAAGGGAAACTAAAACTTTTCGGACACATTATTCGAGATTTTGGTAATGGGCATTGACTGACATTGTTTCAGTCAAAAGTAAAAGTTAAAACTTCACTTTTGTTTTGTCGGTCAAATATAAAAGTTAAAGTTTTACTTTTATTTTTTCGGTCAAAAATAAAAGCTAAAAATTTACTTTATTTATTCGGCCAAATACATATAAAAGTTACAAGTGGACTTTTATTTTCTTCGGTCAATTATAAAAGCTAAGTTAAGTTTTTTCGGTCAAAATAGCAGTTTCCTTCAATTGACTGGTTCAGGTTTCTTTTAAAGGACTTAAATTTCAAGGATATATTAATTAAAAATATTCAGTACAATTTATTCGTGGAATAACCACCATATGGGTGCTAAATGAGAAAGAAATTTTTGTAGAATTAACAATATTTTTTTTGTTCACTAGGACGTACATGACCAAATGAGGAGTTTTTAAATTTTGCGAGAAAAACGTATTTTTGGTAGAAAATAGTTGTACACATATCTTGGAAAGTGCATTATCTTCAGGTTTGTATAAATAACAAGATTCCGCTGCGAAGTTGTATTTAAATGAAAACTTAAAAAATATAAAAACTACACAAATTATACGCATATTGGCAATCAGTACAAAACAAAACTACAACAAACACATCATTTCGACCAACACGTTTTCGGCTGTTTTTCCTGAAATTGTCTGATAGAATTTTTCGTTCACGCTTTCGTACACTTTCCTTCTGCACTTCACAGATACTTTTTCATGGTTCAACAGAAATAAAATCAAATTACGAAGCGCCTGACGGAATTTGAACCTGGCACCGTCTGGAAGCTAACAAATAGCGGCATACTCCTGTGCACGCTCAGCCACTGCCGACTACGCATGCATGCTTTCAAATGTTTAGCTTCAGCAAATAATATACAATAATTGCTTTCAAATGACATCATCCTTTTCGAACGTTTTCCGGATACGAAAATTGATGATAACTGTAGGAGTTTTTTTCTGTTCGTTTTCGGATATGGAAAATTGAACTAAACTGCACTGTCGGCAAAATTTACGTTTCTTTGCTGGCTAGGAAAGTAGAATTGTCCTTTTTGTTTATTTTTTTTAATTTGTGAGAATTTTTCGAACTCTAAAAATTTTGCTAACAGCCGCACTCAGAAATGTTCCTTAAATTAGCTCTAACGGGCACTTAACTAATGATCGTTAAATCTGTTAATTAATGTTTCCTTTCATTGTTAAAAATTATGAAGTGAAAAATTGAAGTATGGCCCCAGTTGCGGCCCTTTATTTTTGTGGCATCACTCACTTTTTTCGTTCAGTTTGAAATCTATATATATAAAAATGAAATGTCTTTCGTTTGACCGCGATGTACTATTTTGGACCTTCTGTGTGGAAGGTTTTGCGCAAGGTGTATTAAACAAGGTGGTGTTGGGGTGACAGCTGAGTTTTTCGCCGCGGAGGCCATTACGTCAAAATGATGTGTTTGTTGTAATTCATACCAATGACAGTATGGACATCAGCGTATAATTTGTTAGTGTAATTTTTTACTTATATACGGCCAACACCACCTTGTTAAATACGCCTTGGTTTTGCGATAAAAAAAATTCAAAGCTTTTTGTTGTTGTTGTCAAAAAATTAAGAAATCTGAGACGTCACGATTTCACAATTTCATAAGAGTTTTCCGTAAATTGTATGTCACTATATCACCAAACGGCTAGACCGATTTCGTTCATATTTGGAACATATATCGGCACCTTGAAGGGAAATATTCCGACTAAAAATTTAACCGCTAGGTGGCGCAGGGCCGGGTTATTCCTAAAGACTGCATTTAGTTGCAGATTTGGCTCATATTTAGAATATTTGTTAGGCAATTGAAAAGAAATATTTGGACTAAAAAATTACACAATATTGCGCGCTGGGGTAGGAATATTCCTAACGTTCTAATACAGTGGGAGAATGATGGATATCTACACATATATCTGTGGTCGTAAGCAATAACCGCCTAAGTCGACTGAAGAAAGAATCGAGCTATATATGCTATCGTTTTCTGCAACTACTATTCCATGTCTACATGAAACTCCCATCTCGTTAGCTATTCTTTTTAAAAAGTTACAGACGAACACATTTTGGTTGGTTTCCCCATAAGGTTAACATTACATTATCTTTAAAGCGCTTTTTCTCGAATTCACGTTTTTCGACTTAGGCGATTATTGCTTATGACCACAGATATATGCGTCACAAAAAAAAGGTTGAAACAAAAAAAAAAAAGGTTGAGGGCACCAATATATCTCTTATACCAACTACATACGCTGGGGAACAAACTGAAACTTGGCATGGATGCATAAATACTTATGGCGAAAACTGGGAGCTTTTGGAAAAGGGGGCGTGGCACCTCCCATACAAACTGAACATCTCCTATCGCTTATCTCTGGAAGCGCTTATGCTAACGTCCTGAAATTTTACACAGCTACATATTTTATCAGTAGCGTACTTATGGCAAACAGTAGCAGATATTGGAAAAGTGGGCGTGGCACCTCCCATACAAATTTAACTTCTCATATCGCCTATGTCTGGAACCGCCTCATGCTAACGTCCTAAATATAGATAGATAAACATCATTCGACTGGGAACCATTTTCTCCTAGGTTTTTAAATCGCATTGAGCGATTGTTACTTTCTTTTTAATTTTTGGGAAAGGTTAAAATTTTTTGTAAACCTAATATTCACGCGTGCCGCCAATTTACTGTCAAAAATTTCTCATGCTCTTACAAGAAGCTAATTCGATTTCCAATTTTTGTTATGCGTGACATTTTGATTTGACCTTTCGCTCAATGAAATCAAATGCAAACGCAAGCAAACCAATTTCAGTTCATAAATATTAAGACGAATTTTAAAAGTGGCGAATTGACAAGGAATGATTTCACCACATCCGTCCAAGAAGGAACACAGTTGGTATATCAATGGCTTCATTAAAACGATATTCAAGAGATGAAACGACTCATTTAGCCGATGTACGGGAAAACTTTTCATACTGTTAGGTAGCGAGGATTTTTGGCCCTACTATAACAGAAAACGCTCAAATGTGATCTTAGGCTTTCTTATAAGGACTTTTATTAGCTTACGCATCGTACCTATGTTGTAGGTGCAAGATCAAAGAAGATTATGCACGCTTGGCATAGATTTCACAGGTGGAAATAGGACCATCGCAAAGCTCATGTCATCGAAAGGGTAGTGTCCACAGGGTGGTGTCCTTCCGCCGCTACTGTTTAACTTTTATGTTTCAAAGCTTCCTCAACCACCAGAGGGAGTTTCGATTGTCTTTTACGCAGACGGTTGCTCGATCATGGCGACTGGGAATGGAATTGATGACTAGTGTTCGAAAGTAAACGGGTATCTCTCCGAGCTTTCTCGCTTCTTCACTGCAAGGAGCCTAACCCTCTCCCCCTTGCTCACCACCTGGACGAAGTAGGTCAGGCTACCGCTGGGAATTCACGTCGATGATATACAAATTCCGACGGTGAATAACCACAATAACCACATAATACACACACATAACCACATTGACGAGACGGAGCTTCATCTGCCTCGGGAGACATGAACCACAATAGCCCAACTTCGCTCTGGCTACTGCAGCAGGTTAAACTCATAGCTAAGCAGACTAAACGCAGATGTACCAAATGAGTGTCTGGCATGCGGGGAGACACCGCATGACTCGAAACCTTTCTTCGTATGCCTGGAAAACTCAGCAATCCGTAGCCGCTACAACAACAACAACAACATCGAAAGGGATTAGTAATTGTCGAAATTGAAATTTATTGGAAACAATCAAAAAATTGCAAAATCTTTCGTTAAAAAGTTAAGTAAAGGTTTTTGATTACTTAACTTTAATGTTCATTAAATGCCGTTAACAAATCATTGCCTGACTTCCGAGAAGGATTTTTTTCAAATCGTTACTGAGGACGCCTTAACTAATCATTAAACGACTCTGAGTGCGGTTCTAACACTTGTAGTAAAACACAAAAAAATGTGATACATACATACAGACTAGGGCATTCAATCCCGAAGCATTTTAACAATCCCGGTATTTCGGGATGCAAAAATTCTAATCCCGGGATCCCGAGATTTTTCGGGATTTCGACTTACACACAACTTTTTTCATTTTACAATAGGTTCGCCTTTTTCAAACCACACAGATTTATTGTCACCACATTTGGTCTTAGGAGAGCATAATGCCCCTTAGTAAAAAGTACATAATTTGATGTTTAAATATTTTGATAGTATTCTAAAATATCTATATTACTTGTCAAAACATTTACTCATATTTGCAGAAATCATCGGAGCTGTAATGCCGGGATTTCGGGACATGGACAAGTGTCCGGGATCCTGGAATTCCGGGATTCTGGATCCCGGGATTGAATGCCCTAATACAGACGTCTGTAACTTGGTTAATTTCTTGTGCATACTTTTGACATCGGTAATAAGAATTTTCAGAAAATCCATTGTTTAGTAATTTCATGATGGAGCAATATTATTTTGCCTTATCCTGAGTTTCGCCTAAAAAAAAATTCACCCGAAAATTTGTCAGCCGCCCATAGTAAAACCATGGAAACCAATAGTGAAAAGTGAACCGGTTCGGGGAAAATGAAACTTAGGATAAGGCTGATTTAGATTCTACCCAAGGCAAATTCTATCTATGTATGTAGTAATTAATTTTGTGATAAAGTATTTATACTTTTCGTTTAGTTTTTATACGCGACGTAAAATGATTTTTGAATATTTTTTATTAATTTTCTTAAAAAATAGGCTTACAAAATAGCGCCTAATCATGTAGCTTAAAATTGCTCAGAGTTTGAGAAAATCGATGATTTTTGACTCTTGCTCTCCGACTTAAACAACACAAAAGGTATGATTATGATAAAAATCAACTATCAAATTTTAACACTTACATATGTACATACATATAATTAGATTCTGAAACTGCTAACAATAGTTGTAATATATATATATATTTTTTTTGTTTTTTATCTATTTCGCCTTATTTGGCTTCGTTGAGGCAGTACCGTTGGTATTAGTTTCTCCTTGGCATATACGTTTGCTAAAGTGTTGCTCAAACGTTGCCCGAATGTCGGCTAATGCTTTACAAATATTTTCGGCAAACCGGTGAACATCCTAAAAAATGCAAATTATAACAATTATCATAAACTCCAAAAGAATATGTATGTATGTCGCTTGCATAAACTTACCGTTTGCTTACAGTTTAATTTAGCTGATATGTGGAAGAAGATTAAGTTTTCACCGGCTATGATATACGATACGCCGTAGCCGTCATCAGCCACCGGGCCAAAGCCCCCGCCTGAGCTGATGCAGTTTGGATGCTTCTTCAAATCCATTTTCGGGGTTTGTCCGTGCGGTGTTTGACTTGTTGACAAGCGCCACGGTTCGCTTAATACCTCGTTGAGGAATGGCGAATCAACTTCTAAATATTTAGAAACCACGTAAAGGCAAAACAGGTGGCGATCAATACCTCGCCCACACATTGCATCTTGGTAGCCAAGTTGGTGGCGTTCGCATGCTCTTTGTAATAACTGTATCCGCTCCTCGTTCTTAAGAAAAGAGAGAAATTATTGGGTGTATTGAGTTGTATTTCGTATGCGATGTATGAATGTATGTAATGTTAGGCTGTTCGATTATTAATTTTCTCCTAATATACATAGGCTAGTGGGTTATTCGAAAAATTGCAAAACGTCGTATTTCAGAAAAGTTTTCAAGAACGCCCTACTTCAGAATTTGGTTGAAAGACGCCCTATTTCAGAATTTTCTCAAAAACATCCTATCTCAGAATTCCGTTCAACAACGCCTGATCTCAGATGAAAATATGCTGAGATAGGCCATTTTTGGATCGGCAGCCGAGATCGGTCGATCTTCCACTCAGCCGACGATATGTTCTATAACTTAATTTTGTTATTATACATAATGTGTGTGTATGCCCAATTATCGCTATCACTATCGCAATCGCGACCGGAAATAACTGTTATTGATTCAAAATTGCATCTATACATACATATAAACATATGATGTGTTATATAAATTTGGTCGTTGTTCAAAGATCTACGCGGATGTGCTATAAACCCTTATTTAATAATTTGTATTTTACGTTCACAAAACAATTGCTATCTGTTGAGTCATATATATTTTTCGTTCAAGAAATAAAAATTACCTGGTGAGTTTTATTTTTCATTAAAAAAATAAAAGTTATTTTTTTGAGATTTGGGTGTACGGCGAACTTTTTTCGGTACGCTCTAATGCATACATATTGTGAAGGAAGTCAAAACATCCTCCTATTTTAGAAGACCGCCATTACAACTTGAAAATATTCATTTTTCAATTTTATTGTGGCGTATTCATATTTATTTCAATAGTGTTATTGAGGTTTGTACCACGATTTTGCTTTTTGTTTGCGAATCAGCTGCACTTGGTAGTAGTAGCTTGAATAAGGAAATGGATTGGATTAGCAACAAGAGTTTACGGGGGTGTGCATAGCTCAGTGGTTAGCGTCGCTGGAATTGCACATCGACGATGCGGGTTCGGTTTCTGCTGAAGTCTAGAGTAATAAGTCTGGTGAGGAGATGTGGTGATCTCCAAAATAAATAGCAGCTATAGCATCTGCCGCTTATACTTTGTTGTTTTTTGTTTTCATTTTTCCTAAAAAAAAACAAAATCGTGGTACAAAGCTCAATAACAATATTGAAATTAAAAATATTCAGTTTATATACTTTAATTTAGACTATTATGTGAGAAGAAAGCAAAACACTTCAAGAATCTGTATTTTATTAAACAAACGAAGCTCCAGCCATTAAGAAGGTTTACTTGTGATTGGAAAATAGAACTTATGAAATAACTTTTAATTTTTGTATGAAAAATAAAAATCGCCAGGTAATTTTTATTTCTGGAACGAAAAATTAAACTTATCATGTAAGTATTATTTGTTGAACGCAAAATATAAATTGACTTATAACTGTTACGGTCCCTGGTATAAGCACATCCTCACACCGAATATAATAAGCAAACTATGTATTTGCATCTTTAAATCAGCCTTTAAAAAATTGTCTGCTTTTTAAGAGAACTGTACTTTTAATTACTTCAATAATCATTATCAGGGCCGAAAAGCATGAACAAGACAAAAAAAAAAACAATTTTAAGCGCTTACTTAGATAAGCACTAAAACATTGGTAAATATTCGCATTCGCAAATATGCTCGAAAATCAAAAAAAAAATTTAAGTATGTACAATTTAATATTTTGTTTTTTATTCAGTTTATTTCCAGAAAAAATTAAAATGGACAATTAAGTGTAAGTGTTATTAAATAAGAAAAATCTGGGCTGCTCGTTTAAGAGCCTTAAATAGACGGAAAACGACATTTAAACATCCACTGATGTGACTGGACCGAATTTAAAATTAGGTATTTTCAGTGATAGTGCATCGATATATTTAGAGGGGGGAGCAGGTCACCTAGTTACCGCGACCGAAACGATATATTGTAACAAAGAGAGAGTGGTGACTACTTAATTTAGAAATTCCTCGGGTTACTTAACTCTAGGCCAGATTTCAATGCGGCAAGACAATGTCTGGTTTAGGAATATAACAATTTACCTCTGAGCTAGTTAATTCGCTATTTATATATTTAACTCTGGATGTTCTGCAAGTGGGCCTTATTCTTTTAGCTTCCTGTTTTGATTCTTCTTTTGGACTCGTTCTTTTTTGAAATAATATAATTCTCGCGTTTTTTTTTTATTTTTCTACGTAATTTTTATTTTCTGCGCCTATTCGGGTTAAAATAGCTTACAAAGTTGCTTTCAAATGAACCCTATCTCTGACTAAATAAAAATTAATTTTACCTAAAAATTCAATTAGTAAAAAAGACTTACGTTACAAATAGTTTTGCACCGAACACACTTGGATAATGAAGAAGGTCGAGAATGCTCGAAGAAAACCAGATTTTTCCATTTTTCACCCTGGTGGATTCCGCGTAAAAAAAACTTTTTGATATTTTGGACATTACATTAAAAAATGATGCCGACTTTATTTTCATTAAGAAAGTTAATCACCGATTATTTTGTCGAATACTTTTTTTATTACTTTCATATCTTTTTAATATACAACGCTTTTATAAATGGATTAAAAATTAGAAAATAATAATTCTCAGTCCCATAGAATTTGTTTTGATAACTTTTGATTTTGATATTTTAGAAAAAGTCATTATAAACAATTTATGACATTAAAAATGAAAAACGTACATACACACATACGAGCACCAATTAATTTCATTTACAGAAATGGTGTGCCTTCCATTTCCGATGTGGCGTACGTAGTGCATAGGGCGACATCTACCTCTCAAACCAACGAGGTTGATGTCTAGACTTTATAGGAACTTGCAAAGCAAAGCTTTTATAGCTGTCTGGACACACAACATTGAAAGTTTCTGGACACACAACATTGCTTTTTTAATTTTAATTAATTTAAAGGCTTCCCAAGATTAATGAATTTTCGTGTTTGAGAAACAGAGATTCGTGCTAATATTTATATTGTATGAATCGTCAGAATATGTATGACCCCGATATAATCAAAAATCTGCGAAATCTGAGAAAAAAATTGTTCTCCTCAGTTTCGTTTTCGGCGATTTGAGCCATATGCTTTTAAATTAATACGATTTGTATATAGGGGCCCGTGATATTTAGTCCCGGGCCCCAGTTTTCTCTCGATGTCCCTTTATCTGTGTATGCACTAACCGGCTCTTATTTTTTTGTACTATATAAAGAAAAAAA